ATGTAGATGTTCAGGCTTGGGTTGCAGCCTGAATACTGATGAGAGGGGAGGATCTTAGAATGGAGGTAGCCAGTTTACCAACCTGGCACTGACTGTGGGAAAGTGGAGTCCTGCAAAGAAAAATCTGTGTATTTGAGTGTCAGATCCTGGGTTAATTGATTACAGCTTCAGGGATTCTGGCTGTGGGGATAAAAACAACAATGTAGATGTTCAGGCTTGGGTTGCAGCCTGAATACTGATGAGAGGGGAGGATCTTAACACCTTCCATGGTGTAAAAGGAGAGATTTCCTTTTTCACACTCACACTGCTCACAGGAAGACCATCCATACAGGGTCTAGGCAGAGATGGGGTCATGCACCCTGGCTACCAGCTTCTCCCCGGGTCTGCCACGCACTGCAGCTGCCAGCTTCTTTCTGGTGCTAACAGGAGGAGGGGAAAGGACTGTGCACCCTTGCTGCTGGCTTCACCCCAGGGCTAGCCCGGCAGTGAAGGGGACCATGTAGCAACTGGCAGCTGTTCCCCAGGACAGGTTAGGGTGTTGGGGTGCTGCTAGCCAGTGTTTTTTGGCTGGGATGCTTGCTGCCCCTCTGTGATCATTACATAGTATAAACGTGTTCCTCCTTCCAAACGCCTCCTTTTCCATTTTATGAAAAACAATTGAATTCCAAGCACATCCAATTGTCCTGGCACAAGCAAACCCTGACCTTGCTTTAAGTTCGGATAAGATGACGGTGCATACCAAATTCAGTGGTCCTAGCTCTTCTCATTTAGGAAGAGTTCACGGACAGAAGGACAGACGAAGACAGATGCACATTTCTAAAATATATATCTTTAAAATATTTTCTAAAAGTATTTTAAAACAATAAAAAGTGAATAGTGATTGTTTAAAATGGCTGATTTTTCAACAAAATGCAAAATAAAGAACAGTAAAAACTGGCTATATCATCCAGCAATTGTAATTCAGAAAATGGAAACGAAGTAATCTTAAATATCTCTTTATTAGTTTCCCTCCCCTCCCCCTTACATTGACTGTTCAGTGAGTACAGTATAGGGGAGGAGGAGTCATATGTGAATCAGCCAGCACCCCTTGATGTGCAGAAAGACCAGAATTCATCTCATTTTATCTCATGTCTCCGCTCATCTGCACTGTAGTTTTGTCTCCTCCACTCAGTGTACAATGTAGGTACTGCCTTAAACTATTGACTACAGTCATTCTGGAAAACAGTAAATACATGTGCAGGTTCAGTAGAGTGCAAATAGATACTTAGTGCATTTGGAGAGTTGTAGCCATGTTGGTCCCCTCCCAGAATATGAGACAGACAAGGTGTGGAGGATATTATTTATTGGACAGAGCTCTTCAGGTCTGGAGAAGTTAACCAGAGTGTCACTATTAAACCTAAGCTTACTTACATTCAACTGTATGGTTGACATGAACTCACATAGAAAAATGACAAAAAACAAAACCACTGTCACCTGTTAACAATCACATTTCACAAAGTGATCACTCCAAATCTGACCTCTCAGTCCTTGTTCTAAAAGGAAACCTGCACAACACCTTCAGAAGACAAGCTGGAGAACTTAAATTCATAACTCTGCTGAACACTAAAAGCCATGATCTTAGTTTGTGGGTCACTGCAACAATTTATAACACACCTTGCTGCCTGCCAATCCCTTATATTATGACTGCAGAGGTGTTACGTGGCCTACAAAAATGTGTGCACCCCTTATGTTTAATAATCTATCCTTCCTACTATTTAGTTATGACACTCTGATTACTTTCTGCAACCCCGAAGAAGAGCTCTGTGTGGTTCAAAAGCTTGCCCCTTCCAACAAAAGTCGGTCCAATAAAAATATAATCTCACTGACCTTGTCTCTCTCATCTTGTTTATTAGTCTGTTAAATTAGAAACGTGAAAGTAGTAGGCTTTTATGGTTGATATGAGGCTGCCACTAAAACAAATTATTCATGCTTTTTATATTGTTATGACGAGCAAGTGTCTGAGGTCAATTAATTTAAGCCTCATCTAGGATGCCATTTTATAAATAAACCATATCTGTATGTATATAAAATCACAATGATTATTCTTGAGGATCTGAGATCTTCATTATCCAGAAGCTGATCCAAAGCATCACATCAATAGCAAATGGCAAATTTTCCACTGATGCAAGTGGGTGTTGGATCCATCTTTCAAAAGCACAACTCACTATCATTTCAGCTAAAGGAGTTATCTTAGCTTTATGAAAGCTGCAGGCTCTTATTGTCGGTGCAGGTGAGCTACTAGAGAGAAACACTAAGCCAGTACATTCTAAAAACTTTAAAAGAGGTGACAGATATTAGAGCTTTTGTTGTTCTAGCTGCTCTCCTTTTATCAAAGGCAAGAAGCTAGAGCAGTGACAGCGCTAATCTCAGGATTTTTGAGAAACCAAATGCTTTCAAAATGAGCAGAACTGGGTCTGGGTTAAACCTCCTTGAAGCAAACTGAATTCAAATGGAACAAAATAGATGGAAGTTCTGAGCTCTTTCCAAAGACAGAGGCAAGAGAATATTTAAGGGGGCATTATCAGGTATTAGGCTCAGAATTTAAGTATTACAAAATACTAATATTTACGGTATATTTCAGGATATTTTTTAAAATGTGAGTTAATTAAAAACAGAGTGTTTGTAATAAAAATATAGCAACATTTCAATCCTTGGGCAGAATCACAAAATGAAATTGATCAGTCTAGTTTCATTGTCTAAGTGAAATTGCATATAACAAGCAAATAGCATAAACAATGAACAGTGCATTGAAATTTTAATACTAATCTGAATTGCTTTATAACTTGTATAATGAGTAAAACACTTCTGAAATCACTTACATTCATTACCTTGAAGTTGCATATGAAGTTAATGGGGAGCAGAAAGTTAGGTGGGGCCCTGTGTGTGCAATAAATATACATTATAGACTAAACAGGGTCAACAATAGGAGGAGAAATGAACATAGTCCTAAAATAAGCAAGAGGAAACAATTATTGGACTGTTATTTGGAGGAAACGTGCACTGGGCGGTTCAGTTGTTAACACAATGAAAGAGAAAGACGTAGGTGATCATTCTGGATCCTTCTCAGTCTGGTATTCCTAAATTGTCTAGTTCGCTTCCAGTGTTGGAATGATGCCACTCACAAATTCTGATGGTTCACTAATGAGCGTCGGCATTTTCATGATGGGTCGGTAAAAAATAAGTAAGCGCTTCTAGCTTGGGCATCTGAACGCTGGCTGAATTTCAATCCCATGTGTATATTTTGAAGTATATTTGGTCAGAAAAGTAGTCGTATTTCCTCATGCTGGGAATGCATGATTGCCTAAAGACACCCTAATATCTTGTCTGCCTTCATAAATAATAGAATCAGAGAACTGGAAGGGACCTCAAAAGATCATCTAATCCAGTCCCTTGCACTCAAGGCAGGAGTAAATATTATTTATGCCAAACATGAGAGGACTTTGCCTTTTATCCCATGACAGTTTATTTTGTTTAAGAGCCTTTTGTCAGGGACCTTGTCAAAGGCTTTCTGGAAATCTAAGTATGCCATCTGCTCCTGATGACTTATTACTGTTTAGTTTATCAATTTGTTCCAAAACCTCCTCTAATGAAACCTTAACCTGGGACAGTTCTTTGGATTTGTCACAAGATTGGCTCAAGTTTGAGAATCTCCCTCACGTTCTCAGCCATGTAGACTGAAGCAAAGAATTCATTTAAATTCTCCACAATGACCTTATCATCCCTGAGCTCTTCTCTTGTCCAGAGTCACTTAAACTAGTGATTTATGTAACATTACTGATTTTTAAAATATTGTATTTTCGGATACCAGAGCAATAGAGGAAAAAATTGCAGGTAGTTCAGAACTATCTAGTTTTCTATTATAGGTAATGGAATATTTTTAAACACTTTCCATTTGCTGAAATCCCCTGATACATTAGGAAATGGAAGAAAAGTCCAAGTGGTGAACTGTGAACATATAAAATATTCAAATATAACAATAAGAAAAGAGAGAATACCATAGACTTTTCTGTCTTCTAGAAGATTTCTGGTATATAAATACACTTCAACAGCTTTATTTCAAAAGACTAAACAACAAGAATAAGATGATTTCAAATAGGCATTGTAAAGGATTTCTGAAGGCATTCTAAAGGGGTTTCACATTACATTGCACAGCTTTCTCATCATGTTTTACCAAGTGGCATTCTTGATTAGAAAGCAATGCAGAGCACAAACATATCATCAGCAAGAAATCATATAGTTATTCTTTTTCTCTCCAAACATTTTAATTAGACTGGTAAGTTTAAAAATAACATAAAAGGTTATGTTAAGAGCCTACTTAAGAGCCTTGGCAGATGCCTATCAAAATAAACACTAGGCATTATATTTCAATACCAACACAATATGAAAGTTTTATCTGAGTAATACAAGTAGAATGCTATTCCATTAGGAACTCTTCTGCTTCTGCATCTATTAGGCTGCCATTGCAATGAAATGCATCCCATTTAAGTCAGTGATTTGTTAGGGAATACCAGGTACCTTCAGCAACAGAGTATGTCAGTAATGTTATGTAGCGATCTATAGAACATTATTGACTTTAAAATAATTTTAAGGACTATCCCCCTCACCTGCCTTCTTTTTAGAGTTCCTCTTCCTTTTCATCTATCCCCATCACACTGTTAACTCTGGGTACATCTACACTGCAGTGTTATTTTGGAATAATTGATGTTATTTTGAAATAAAGTGTGAGTCTAGACAGCAAGCTACTATTTCAAATAATGTTGAGATGGAGGACTTCTTACTCTGACTCCTTTAACCCTCATTTCATGAGGAGTAAGGGAAGTCAAAGGAAGAATGTTCTGGTTCGACTTGAACTATGCAATTGACATAGCTGAAGTTGTGTCTCTTAATTTGACTTTTGCCCTCCTGTGTAGATGTGCCCCTGCTTGCATGTTATATTCCTTTCCCCTACCCCCTGTCACCAGGCCAGCCGAGCCGGAGGAGGAGGGTGATCTGCCCACTTGGTCCGGGTCGGAGGAGGACGAGGATGACCAGAGCAGCACTGTCACCCTCCACCTGGAGCCAGTGGTGAGCGGCCAGGATGTCTCCTGGGCTTCATCCAAGACCGGTGAAGGATCCTCTGATGAGTGTTGCGCTTCTCACTCGCAAGGGCTGGGGAGCTGGGTGCCCAGGGGAGAGGGGGAGGGAGCGTCACTCAGGCAGTTCGAGCTGCACATTGTGTAACAGTACACAGCACGTGCAACCTCGTGCAACCTGACTGTGTGGCATGTGGACACGGCAGGCAGCTCCAGGGCATGCCTGGGAACCTGCTGCTTGCATGCTGCCTGGAGGGGGTAGGGGGGATGCCGGCTGGAAGCAGCCAAGGTCCCAAGAGCTCAGGCCAGACCCCACACCTCCCGAAGGGTGCCGCACACAGACAGCAGGCAGCCATGCCTGGCCATGTGACAAAGCAGCTGCTCCTGGGAAAACAGCAGTGAGCCAGCCCTGTGAGCATGGCCCTGATGGAGCCCCTCAGCTGCTCTCGGCCCCTAGGCTGCCCCCAAGGGAAGCCCCTCACTGTGGCCACACACTTCCATGGGCTACTTGTGTGAGGGTAGCAGGAGGGGGAGCAGGGAAGCGGTAGGCCTGGCCCTATGGCCACTTGAGTTTTGCTGCAAGGATGGTACACTCCCCAGTCACCCTGGCTCCATCTCCGAGGACATCAATTGACAGGGGTCCAAGTACCCAGACCTCGTCTGCCGTACTTGCTTCCATGCAATGTGGGGATGTGTACATAAACATAAGTACAGCATCACTGGTGTGTTGCTCACACACAATGACAACAGTCGAAGCCATGTGCTCTACATTGGGGAGGGAACGTGCACAGAGCAATGCAGACACACATAAGAACACAAGAAGGTAAGAATGGCAATACTGGGTCAGACCCAAGTATCCTTTCTGCCAACAGGGGCCAGTGCCAAGTGCCCCAGAGGGAGTGGACTGAAGACAATGATCAAGTGATTTGTCTCCTGCCATCTATCTCCGGCCTTTCACAAACAGGGGCTAGGGACACCATTCCTTACCCAATAGCTAATAGCCAGTTATAGACCTCACCTCCATGAATTTATATAGCTCCTCCTTAAACTCTGGTATAGTCCTAAGCCTTCACAACCTCCCCTGGCAAGGAGTTCCACGGGTTGACACACCACATGCCAAGTAGCCAGGACACAGAAAAGGGGTCTTCGCTCACAGTGATGTCTCCCAAGGGTTACAATCCATAGAGGATCACTTTACTCCAGGGGAGTCCTGTATACAACCATGCACATAGGGGACCAATTAGGCCCAAGCCACAGTAGCGTGGTGTCACCTGGGCTCAGGGCAGGGGGCATGGGGCTCAGGGACAGTGTGGGCTGGGCTGCCAAACCGTCTCATCATTTTTTCTGTTTTCTGCAGCAGGAACACCCAGGAATGAGGGACCCTCCAACCCTGCGGCGGCACCACCAACCACCCAGTCCTGCACACAAGGCAGCGGGACCAGCTCCTATGGCGGCACATGCAGGCCATTGAAAGAATCAAGGTGGCAGTCAGCCGAAAGATTGAGGCTGACCTGGAGTGGTGGCAGCAGGCATGGGGCCAGTTCCTGCAGAGGTCCACCCTGAGGTCGCACATCGGTCACACCATGCACTATGGCATGGCCTTGCCACATCCTCCTGCCCTCCCTGCCTTGCCCATGCCCCCTCCAGCCACCCTTCCTACTGCCCCTCCAGCTGCTACCATGCCCCCACCTGCTGCACCCCATCCTGCCCACATCCCCGTCTTGCCTGCCCCGACCCAGCCTGAAGGACGGCAAGACCTCTACACCCACCGAGGCACTAGCAGGAGCCCTCTCTCCCAGCAATAGTGCCCCCTCCCAGTTGAGAGGCCCCTCCCGCTGCCCACCCTTCTTCCCTATCATAAATAAAAATACAAGTTTTCTGGTTTTTTAAGGAAAAAATGGTTTTGTTTATTGGGAGGTAAGGGGAGGCGGGGGAAGGAAGGGTTGCGGATGGGAGGGAAATGTAGATGTAGAAGCGACCCTGCTCTGGGGCCTGGGAGAACATCTCCTTCAGGGTCTCCCAGAGGCGCACCTTATCATGGTGCACCTGGCGGATGGCGGCCTTGTGGGGCTGTTCAAATGCCCGGCCCTTGGCTGCCATCCACGCCGGGAGGAAGGCCTCCCCCTTCCACTCCATGATGTTTTGGAGTACACCACACACTGCCACAACTTCAGGAATGTTCTGCTCTCCCATCTCGAGACGGGTGAGCAGACAACGGAACCGCACATTCAGCCGGCCACAGGTGCACTCGACCTGGTTGCAGGCCCAGTTCAGGTGGTCATTGAACTGTGCCCAGCTGGGATCCATCCGTCCTGTGTAGGGCCGCATCAACCAGGGAATGAGGTGGTAGGCCACGTCCACCACAAAACAGAGAGGCATGTGGATGTGCGATGCAGGCTGGAGTTACCAAGACATGGGCATCATGTGCCCTGCCAGACCACCCCACATAAATGTCTGTGAAGTGGCCACGGTGGTCCACAAGGGCCTGGAGCACAACAGAGAAGTACCTCTTCCGGTTAATAAAATGGGCCATTCGATGTTCTGGGGCACAGATGGGGATGTGGGTTGCATCCATGGCTCCTCCGCAGTTGGGGAACCCCAGAGCAGCAAAGTCAGCCACCGCTGCATCCATGTCCCAAAGGTGGATGACTCTCTGGAGCAGGATGTCATTGATGGCATGGACAACCTGCAGAAGGGGCACAGAAACACAGGGAACGCACCAAATGAGGCAGGATAGGTGCATGATCCTTTGGGGGGTGCTCGCCCCCCCTGTGATGCCCTCTATCCCCAAACACAGCAGGGCCCCCTCATCCCGCAACCTCCCCCCCCCCATGCTAGCAGGCCTGTGTGAGGGAGGGATGGCACAAACTCCTAGGTGACGGGGCTTCCCCCACTCTCTCCACCCCCTCCAGCTTGGAGTCTTCCCTTCCCCTGGGCAGGGAGTGCAGCACCCCCCCCAGGACTTACCTGCATCACAACAACACCAACTATGGACCTGCCCACCCAAAACTGGTGTCCCATTGAGTGGTAGCTGTCCGGGGTGGCCAGCTTCCAGAGGGCTATGGAGACCCTCTTGTTGACCAGGATGGTGGGCTGCAGCCAGGTAGTATGTCTCCGGAGCACAGGGGCGAGCCAGGCACACAGCCCCAGGAACATCTGCTTTTGCATTCTGAAGTTCCGGAGCCATTGCTGGTCATCCCATTGCTCCAGGACCAGCCGGTCCCACCAGTCCGTACTGGTGTCCAGTCTCCAAGAAAGCCTCTGCACGGTTGGGTGGGGACGCCACAGGGATGTCACTGCATCCATGGAGAGAGAATCCAGACTGAGCTCGGTCTCGAGCTCCTGCAGGAGTAGTGCAGCAGCATGGAGCAGCAGCTGCAGGCACTCCAAAATGGCAGTGTGGAGCCAGAGCAGGCACAGGGGCACTCCTGGCTCTATGGCACAGCAGTGAGAACGCCAAAGGCACTAAAGGCACTAGGGCAGAAGCTGTGGTGTCCAAAGAGGCTGAGGGCAACCACACCTAGAACTGCTACGGCTGTCAGACCATACAGGAGGTCCCAAAGCACGCAGCAGGAGAGAAATGACTGTCCAGGGAGATCCCTTTAAGCACATGTCTCAAATGAGCTCCAGGCCCCACCCCTGGAAAGTCCCTGGTGCCCTTTTGCCCTCTGCAAAGTAGTTCCAGGCTGACGTTTTTGTGCAAGAGCATCCTGCCAGTGTGGGTGCTCTCTTGCACTAAAGCGCATGGCTTTTATGAGGCGCTGTGACCAGTGTGGACGCTCTCTTGCACAAGTACTTTTGCACAAGAACTCTTACGCAAAACAGTTCTTGCACAAGAAGCTAGCAGTGTAGACGTAGCCATGCTGTTCAAATGGGTATGAAATTGGGCAAAGTGATTTCACTCTTCCCTTGCCTGACAAAGAGCTTGCTGCAGCTTTAAGGTTAATGTTTAGAAGGATGTGCTGCTGCATGTTTCCCTTTCATAAGGGAAATTCTGGAATGTGGCTGTGTATCAAAACACTTGTTGAAACATGGTCTGTTAAAAGGACAACCTAAATCCCCCACAGTCATCGTATATACATTATATTTCACTCCACTCCCTCTGTAGTAAACACAAGAGAACAGCAGGATGTGCCTTGTGGATTGTTTTAAGTATTTTGTTAGGACAGGGTAGGGTAGATGATGATCCAGCTATGCCACTTCGCATGAATGGAGGATCTGACTGGAGGAATATAAATGGGTTTTGCTTGTTCATTTTCCCAGGCATAAGTTTACACACATTTTCAAATGTTACTTTGATGGGTGTTATATGACTGTTCCTTAAAACTAACAGGACCTTAACTCAACTTACATTTTTTGGAAAATAAAATGAAAATTTATATTATTCATTTCAGTCATTCCTCTGGGATGGGGATGGGGTTGAGGGGCTCAGTATGCAGGCTGCCCTGGGAAGAGAGGACTATCCCAGTCCTCTCTCACTGCAGCAGCTTGGGTCAAGGTGAGAAGTGTCCCTCCATGGCTGCTACAGCTCCAGTGGGTACAGCCAGGGGAGGAATGCATGTACCCTAGATGGGGCAGGTCCAAATTTGTCTCTCCCCTGCGCTCCCCAGCACACTTTTCCCTCACTCCCTGGTGAAGGTGAACAGTCAGCAATGCTCCTGTACAAATCAAGGAGGGTAAATTCGGAGGGGAGGGGACTGAAGTAGTCCTGGATGGGCGGGGGGCAGGAGGAGGAAGAGGAATGCCCCAAGCCAGCTCCTTTCAGCTTCCCAGTAATTCTCTTTTCTGTATGGTTTTCTGAAAAGCAGTCCCATTTTTCTGGTACAACCAAACACTTACCTTACTTTAGGTTACGATAAGAGGGAGCTGTATTCCAAATTTGGTGGTCCTAGTTCTTACTGACTAGCAGAGTTGGTGCATTTAGATATGATTTCAGAAGGGCAGCATTTTATCATGCAAGGCAATACTCTTTTCTCCAGCATTCAGAAAGTGATGCTGCTGAAAGTATTAGCAAGAACTTCTTTGTGTTCCTGCTCCAAGGTGAAAGAGGAGCACTGACAATGGATTATCTAGGTGCAGTCTTTTTTTATTACCAGTTGGTGTCACTATTCCATTGATACAGAACTGTGCAGTCCTCCATCACAGAAAGTTATGGGGAGGAGCACAGAGAGTTCAAACAAAGGCAAATATGTTTGATGTGAAAAGAATATCTGGTATTTATTGTTGATTCTGTTTTCATTTCTGTTTAAAAGAACACACTCATAGATATGATGTCAACAAAAGCGGGATTGAATTTCTGTTCTGGGAACCTATAAATATTAGTTCCTTTTTGGGCTATTTCTTTTACAGGAAGGTATTCATATTATATCTCAAAACTGAAACTGAAGCTGTTAAATACAAAGACAATTAAAATTTTTGGATTCAGTTCAATCTGACTGTCATGCCTATAAATGGAATTCTCCATGTGGTGCAATAAGTTTCAAGTAGTAAAAATGGTCAGGTCATTTGCATTTATTTGGTTGAGTTGTGATTTGATTCAAACTGGCAAAATTCTCTCTTTTTTTTTTCTAGAGCCCTGAAGTCCTGAGGCAAAGCTTCTTAAAATCAATGGAAGGACTCCCATCAACTTCAATAGGCTTTGGATCTGGCCCTTCCATCCTGACAACCCTTGGAAATTGCAATAAGCTTAACTAGTCAAAATACTGTATGTTAGGTATCAGAAACAGACTTTGTTTTCACTGACTATTTATTAGAAACAAAGACTCATTTCGGTTATGAAATTTAGGAGGAATTTAATAATGCAGAGCAAATACAAATATGGGATAAAAAAAGTGATGTCCTGAAAACCATCTGACTATGTCCTGATAATAAATAATCGAGAATACATAGAATTTTTCCATAGCCCCATAATGGAAATTTCAGATTCAGAGAAATACATTTCCAGAAGTCTCCCTCCTAAATTTGGATACAATTTTATTTTGTAGTACTAAATCTCATGGCGCTGCTTCTTAGGTGATACAATAGAGTTTAATGCCTTGGAAGAAAAAAAAAGTTGCACAGATACTTGATTGGGATGATTTTGAAGAAACCGATTAAAACACATTGTGTTTTGTACTCAAAAACTAAACAATGGACAAATAGAAATAGCCCACCTTATTTGGTTGCCGGTTCCATCTAGGGTTTGTCCAAATGCAGAAATTGCACTGATTTAATTAAAGGGGGCCTCCTCCCCAGTTGAGAGCTCCAGTGTTTGGGCTGAAAGGTGGCCACGTTAGAATTCACTGCATCTTATTTAGTTAATCACATACACTAAAATGGTAGCTCAGATTTAGCTGTTTTAGTGGTGCAGTATCCAGCCAAACATGATACTTAAAACTACCAAGTGAATTTATTGACTGTTCTGCATCAGGCCCTTAATGAGTATATTTGAAAAGAAAATAAATAAGCTGTTCAAATAGTGTAATACTGCATGCCAAATCCAACAATTAGCTCAAAACCTTTTGTGAAATACCCTGTTAAATGAATAAATCTGTAACAATTTAAGTCAATATTTCAGCTGAGTTAACTCAAGGTATCTGTAAGGAACAACCCTGTTGAAAAGAGGGATTTATTCTACACTGAGGCAACACATTTAACAGATCTCAGTTGTACTGGAACAGAAAATTGCATATTTTTAAAAGCTGCCAGCTACAGCCTTGCAGTCTTTGTTGTATATTTAATTTTCAGATGAACCTTCAGACTGTAAATTCACATATAATTGCCCTTCACAATGGAAACTGGAAGAACTTAAAAAACAACGGATAGTCTTGCAGAACCTTAGAGATTAACAAAAAATGTAGACAGT